TACTACAAGGGTTCTTTCGTCTCCCCATCAAGATTGTAAGAGTTCATCTTTTTAACATAGTTCATGTAAACTTTATTACTATTTTATATCCTATCACTAAAAGTTTAGAGTATGCAATTAGACCTAACAAACAAGTTGGATTAGATGGGTTTGGATTGAGTCATCTTGAATCTTAAGTTTTTCGGATTGAATTATTTCATGTGTCAGGTTAAAGGAGTAAACTTATAATCCACCCAGAATTGAATTGGGTGGACTTAACTTCTAAAAATTAAAATTAAAATTTTTTTATATTTTTCTCTATTTTTATTTAATAAAATCTAATATTAATTAAGTATTTAGTTAGAAAACTTTATTAAACGCTAATTTTCATTTCGCAATTCAATTTTTATCCAATCTCAAGAAAAGAAAAGGGAAAGATTACTAATTATATAGGTGAAACTAAAATATATATCAAATATATAATACATATATAATACATATACAATATTTAAAATTCACAATTTCACAAAGGTATTAACCTTGGGGGAAAAACAAATCAAAATGTTGCTTTTTGAATGTATATGGTCCCTGTAATGTGGCTGGTCATGCAAAACTGTGGGAAGATTTATCCAGATTGATTGAAGCTCGAAATTATTTCTTCTGTATTGGTGGCGATTTCAACTGTGTCAGGGGATCACATGAAAAAAAAGGTAAAATGACTTCTCAACCTAGCTCTAGAAATTTCAATCTATTTATTGAATCAAACTGCCTTGTAGATTTACCCCTTTCAAATAGGAAATTTACCTGGTATAAGAGCAATGGGTCTGCCCAAAGTAAATTGGATAGATTTCTTCTTTCAGAGAATTATTTGGAGTTCTGGGGCAATTGTGTTCAACTAGCATTAAAAAGAAGCATTAGTGACCATTGTCCTACCAGCCTAAGCTCGAACAACCATGATTGGGGACCCAAACCTTTTCGATCTATAAACTGCTGGGCATTGCACCCTAACTTTAAGCCAATGGTTGAGAAATTATGGAAGTCCTTGGAAATTGAAGGATACTGGGGATTTAAATGCAAGGAAAAGATCAAAAAGCTTAGGCAGCACCTGAAGACATGGAACAAAGAAGAGTTTGGCAATGTTGACAATCAACTTGAAGAGGCAATGAAGAAAATTGAAATTGTTGATTTTAGATGTGAAGCTCAAGATCCTTCAGATGATGATATTCTCAAAAGAAAGGATGGCTTTGAAGAACTATGGGTCTGCCTCAAGAAGAAAGAAAGCTTATGGCGACAGAAATCCAAGGCAACTTGGATCAAAGAGGGGGATGCGAACACTGGTTTTTTCCACATAATTGTTTATGGTAGGAGAAAGAAGAATATGCTCTAGGGGATTGACAACCATGGCTCTTGGATTGATGACCCCATACAATTGAAGCAGATTATTATGGATCACTTTAGAAACCAATTCTCTTCTCAATCTTGCCAACAGCCAAGACCATACTTGGAACACCTGCAATTCAGCAAATTAAATGAAGAAGATAAGATTATGTTGGAAGAAGAATTTTCAGATGATGAGATCAGAGATGCTGTTTTCTCTTGTGCAAGTGACAAAGCTCTAGGGCCTGATGGTTTGAACTTTCATTTTGTCAAGAAAATTTGGGGTACAATTGAAGGGGATGTTATTAACTTCATCAAGGAGTTCCATCAGAATGGGAAGCTAGTAAAGGGCCTTAATTCATCTTATATTATGCTAGTCCCTAAAAAGAAAAATCCCACATACTTGAAGGAATTTAGGCCGATAAGCATGGTTGGGTGCCTATTCAAAATCCTGGCTAAGGTGCTTGCTAATAGACTCTATAAGGTAATCGGCAAAGTGATAAGTGTAAGTCAATCTGCTTTTATAAAAGGAAGGCAACTTGTTGACAGTGTATTAGCCCTTAATGAGCTTGTACATGACATGAAAAGTAAGAGAAAAAAGGGTGTCATCTTTAAAGCAGACTTTGAAAAGGCTTTTGATACTGTTGACTGGAGTTATCTGGATACAATGCACTATTTACTAGGATTTGGTGAAAAGTGGCGAAGTTGGATCAAAGAGTGCTTATCGTCTGCTTCTGTTTCTGTTCTTGTTAACGGAAGTCCAACACAAGAATTTAATATGCAGAGAGGACTAAGACAAGGAGACCCTCTCTCTCCATACTTATTTCTTATTGCTGTTGAAGGCTTGCATGCCCTTCTCCTTGAGGCAGAGATGAAAGACATGCTTAAGGGGGTAATGGTTGATGAGAATACTTCAGTTTCCCACCTTCAATTTGCTGATGACACTGCTCTTCTCTGTGAGGCTTCTGCTAATTCTGTTTGGGCTATCAAATGTACATTGAGATGGTTTGAGATTATGTCTGGCCTCAGAATTAATTTCAATAAAAGCACTCTGTATGGGACTAATGTGGATGAGGAATGGCTTAGCATGGCAGCCTTGGCCTTGAATTGTAAAGCTGGGAAATTACCTTTTACTTACCTTGGGCTCCCTGTTGGTGGTAACCCACATCGTCATAGCTTTTGGAAACCGGTGGTTGAAAAGTTCCGATCTAAATTGGCATCCTGGAAGGGCAAGCTCTTATCTTTTGGTGGCCGTATCACGCTTCTCACGTCGGTACTCTCTGCTCTCCCACTTTTTTACTTCTCTGTTTTTAAGGTTCCAAGTGGCATCCTAAAAGAACTTATTAGAATTCAAAATAACTTCTTATGGGGTGGTTTTGACGAGAGTAAAAAAATTGTTTGGATTAGTTGGAGTAAGGCCACTCTAGCTAAATCTAAAGGAGGTCTTGGTATCCCAAACTTAGCCATTAGGAACATTGCCCTTCTAGGAAAATGGTGGAACAAGTTTTACAATGATGGTGAAAATGAAAAGCTATGGAAAAAGATTGTTATTAGTAAATACTATGCTGGTTCTACATCAAATCTTATCTATAACATGATGTCTTCAAGATTATCTTCTCTTTGGAAGGATATTTTATCTATTGACAAGGTATCCGATAGAGCAACCATGTGCTTTTCAAATGGCTTCACACATCAGCTTGGTGATGGCTCTAAAACCAGCTTTTGGAAGGATATTTGGCTGGAAAGCTCTCCTTTAAAGCATGAATTCCCCCGTCTATTTAGCCTCACTTTGGACAAGGAATTGACAGTTGCTGATTTGAAACCAACCAATAGAGAGGGCTGGAATCTTCAATGGCGCAGATCCCCTTTTGGAAGAGAACTGGATGAACTCGAGATATTAGAAGACATTCTTCGAAGTGCTATTTTAATTGAAGGCAAGGCAGATAGAAAAATTTGGAAGCACTGCCCCTTAGGATATTCTGCAAAAATGGCATACTTGTTTCTTGATGTGTCTCCTCCCTGCCTTGATGAGAACATTTGCAAGTTAATATGGAATCCATTGATGCTTGCTAAAGTTAGTGTCTTTGCCTGGCGCCTCTTTTTAAACCGCCTCCCCACCAAGGATAAACTCATACAACATGGCATTCATCTAGTATCTAGCCCAGCATGCGTTCTATGTGATAATTATATGGAAGATGCAAACCATGTCTTTGCAAAGTGCAAATTTTCTCAAAGTCTTTGGAACCGTGTATGCAGCTGGTGGGGACTGACGGTTAACCATACTAATAACATCTCCCATCTACTTCTCCAGCTTTGCTCACTTTCGATCCCAAGGAAAGCACGACAGTGTTGGACTCTCACTATTTTTACAATATCTTGGGCCATTTGGTCCTGCAGAAATGGTATTATTTTTAACAAATTTTCTTGGGATGAGAATAATATTATAGACTTAGTGCAGGTTAAGACCTTTGCTTGGATTAAAGGAACCTTGAAATCTGCTAGTTTTTGTTTAAGTGACTGGTGTTAGTTTCCAATTCTATGTGCAGTCCAGTCCTAACTCCCTTCCACCTGTTGTGTATTTTCTTGATCTAATGGGTGAGTACCCCTTTATAAGGGTATTATACAAAAAATACAGTTCTATTTAATATTTAGAAGGACATTATATAAAAAATATAATCATATTCAATATTAAAATGCAAAAGGCAAATAAAAAATATATCTAAACAAATATAAGAAGAAATTAGATTAGGATTAATTTTTATTAACTAGGAACAAATTATTAACTAAGAAAAAAAATTAGCAATTAAGAACAAACCTTAATGTTCTTGATAATGGTGATGAGAGTACCTCAACCACTGAATTTGATTTTTAGTAGACATTCTTGCTTTCTTTTTTTCTTTTTTTCTTTTTTCTTTTTTTAAAAAAGATCTTTTTGACAGGTGCCACCTAATCTGATTTTTGACATGAGTGCCACCAAAGAAAAGGATTTGAGAGCTTGAGATGAAGAAGGGGAGAGCAAGAGTGGAGAAGAGGAAAAGTTGAGAGAAAGTGAAATTGACGGGAGGATAGGGTTTGGTATTTTATTTATTTCTACTTTTAGGATTAGGAAATTAGAAATTTAAAATTAATTTTTAAGTAATCTAATAAAAAATGAATAAAAAAAGTTCGGGTTATTTCGAGTGACTCGACGCACCGTGACCCAACTCATTTAGGTTCGAAAAATTTTAGTTTGGATCATTTTGGATTTTGGATTAACACATAGAACTCATAACCAAACTCATAATGGATAGGTTGGGTCAAATTTTCGAATTGAGTCTAATCTTGCTAAGTCTAGCAATGGTGGTGTCCTATTGAGACCATGGAGTCATAACCAATGTTGTCAAAATCACAATTTAAATCTTAAAATCATACGATTTTATGATTGTAGGTATATATTTCAAGTAAAATCTATGTTAAAATTGGAATTCCAAAAAATCAGAGGGTAAAATCATAAAATCATGATTTTATAGTGAAATTAGTTGAAATCTTGATTTTACCCTTAGTTAGACAACTAGGCCATTTCCTCTTGGGCTTTCCATCTTGGTTTAATGGGTTTTGACCAAACAACCCTTAAATTAAACCCATTTCTCATTTTAAAAGCCCACAACCCAACAAGAAATGAAGATTTTGCTTCCACAAATTGGGACAAATTTGATCTGAATCTCTGATCTTCTTAGTCTTCACTTATGGTTTGTTTGGATAAAAATTAGTAAAGGAAGGGAAAGGGAGGGGAAGGGATGGAAAGAGAGAAGAAGTGAAGGGAAGAGAAAAGTAAATATTAGTCTTATTTGGATAAATGAAAATAGAGGAAGGGAAAGAAAAATATTTTTATTTAATTAAATAATTTAAATAAAATAAAATAAAATATTTAAAATTTATAAATTAAAATAATAATTAAAATAAAATATATTTATATATTTATTTTTAAAAAATATTTAAAAAATATTAAGTATAGGTTAAAACCCCTTTTTGGTCCCT